CTTGATAGAGTCCAACTGGTACCCCAGGGGCAGGCACCTAGCCTTCTAGGACATTACAAAAGGTGCACATTGAAAGGGCTTAAGAAAGGGGTGCCTAGCCCTAACCGGTTTGGCTCAGTGGATAGAGCGTCAACCTGCGGACTGAAGGGTCCCAGGTTCGATTCCAGTCCAGGGCATGTACCTTGGGAGAACTTCTGTGCTGAAGACACCCTTCTGGGGCAAGACTTGCTTCAGTGGAGCTTTGGTGCTCACTGAGTCTGCCCCCTGAGTGTGTCCCTTATGGATCTGAGGAGTTGTAATCTCGCTCTTGGATCTAAGGAGGTGCTAATTTAGCCTCTGCCTGAGGCTACCCAGCAGGAGCTATGAAGAGATCTGCAGATTCCCCTTCCTTGTTTGGGGCTTGGAGGTGCCCAGATGAGGCCCAGTTGTGAAGCAATGCAAGCTGCTGTGGGGCCTTGGGCCTTCTCTTGGAAGTTCTGGGTCTGTCTGGCCCAGCTGCAGTTTGTTAGGTAATTTTCAGATTGCAAAGGGCCAGGCCTTTCATATGCAAAAGCCTCTGCCTCAGCCTGGGTGGGGCAGGGTCTCAGGGAATCAACAGGGCGGAGCAAACAGCTATGGCTGATCCTCAGCCCTGCCCTAAGAGGCCCTGCGTCTCAGTGTCCTGGTAATCGCTGCAAGCACCTCTGAGAGGAAGCTGCCCTCAAGTTCCGAGTTCTGCCCACTGCCAGACAGTCCAGTTTCTCCCCATATGAGTCTGGGTCCCCAGAGACTTCCCGGAACTGGAGTTCAGAGCAGTCGGGGGCTTAAGACTCCCTCCCAATTCAAAAAGACAGCCGCATCCTCAGTTGTCAGCCCTTGCTGCGTGCGCCTCTGTACCTCTGCACTTACTTCCGCACCTCCTCTGAATCTCAGTGTGCTTTTCTCATTCGTTCTAGTTGTAGAATTTCCACTCAGCCAGCCTTCCTGTGGTTCTGGGTGATGTCTGTTTTGTCTTTAGTTGTATTTTTGAAGTTGTTGTGGGAGGCAGCTATTTCCAGTGTTTACCTATGCCGCCATCTTGGTTTTTCCCCAAACGACCCTTTCACAGGGGTCGCCTAAGACCATCCTGCATATCAGATATTTACATTATGTTTCAGAGCAGTAGCAACATTACAGTTGTGAAGTAGCAACAAAAATAATTTCATGGTTGGGTCACAACAAGAGGGACTGTATTTAAAGGGCCAGGAGGTTGAGAACCACTGAATTAGAGTGTCGTCCAGTGCACCAAAGGGTAGTGGATTCAATTCCTGGTTAGGGCACATACCCAGGTTGTGAGTTTGATCCTTGGTCGGGACATGTGCATGAGGCAACTAATCAATGTTTCTCTCTCACATTGATGTTTCTCTCACTCTCTCTCACTCTCCCTTCCTCTCTCTCTAGAATCAATGAAAAGCCTGTCCTCCTGTGAGGATTTAAGATAGAAAGGAAGAGAAAGAAGAAAGAAAGAAAGAAAGAAAGAAAGAAAGAAAGAAAGAAAGAAAGAAAGAAAGAAAGAAAGAACTAGAAATGAAAATCTCTATAACATAAGTGAAGAATGCATTTGATGGGCTCTTTAGTAGACTGGCACTGGCTGAAGAAAGAATCTCTAAGATTGAGAGTATGTCAATAGACATGTCCAAAATGCAAAAGCCATGAGAAAAAAAGACTGAAACAAAGTAACATAAAACCCAGAACTGTGAGACAACTACAAAGGTGTAGCATACATGCAATGAGGATACCAGGAGAAGAGAGCAGAAGAAATATCTGAAGCATTCATAACAGAGAATTTTCCCCAAATTAATGTCAGAACCAACCACAGATCCAAGAAGTTCAGAAACTCCAAGTAGTATAAATGCCAAAGAAAAAACTACACCTAGGTATATGATATTCACACTGAAGAAAATTAAAGATAAAGAAGAAAATCTCTCCCTGGCCAGTGTGGCTCAGTTGGTTGGATCCCATGTACCTAAAGGTTGCCAGTTCAATTCCCAATCAAGGTACATACTTAGGTTGCAGGTTCAATCCCCAGTCAGGGAACATTCCAGAAGCAACCAATCAATATTTCTCTCTCACATAAATGCCTCCCTCTCTCTCTTTCTCCCTCTTCCCCCTCCCTCTGTTCCTCTCTCTCTAAAAATCAATAAAAAACACACATATCCTCAGATGAGAATTTAAAAATCTTGAAAGACACCAAAGGAGAAAAACACCTCATGTATAGAAGGGCAAACATAGGAATTACATCTGACTTCTCAAAAACATGCAAGCAAGGAAAATGGAGTGAAATATTTTCAATGTTGAGAGGGGATAAAATCCTCACCAACCTAGAATTTTATATTCTATAAAAGTATCCTTAAAAAGTGTAGGAGCAATAAAGGCTTTATCAAACAAGAAAAATGGAAAGAATCTATTGCCAGTAGACCTGCATTGCCAGAAATATTAAAAGAAGTCTATCAGAGAGAAGAAAATGATATAGGTCAGACATTAGGACTGACAGAAAGGAAGAGCATTAGTGAAGAAATGAGTAAAGGTAAAACAAAAAAATCTTTTTATTTTCCTTACTCTTAATTGAGCTAACGTTTTAAAAAATAACAATAGCAACCATGTATTTAAAGATTATAACTTATGTGTAAGTGAAATGAATGACAGCAATGAGGCAAGGGATGGGAGCAATTAGAAATTTTATTTTTATGAGGTACTTGTACTACCAGTGAAGAAGTAGTGTTATTTGAAAGGAAACTGGATTAGTTGTAAATGTATAATGCAAACTCTAGGACAACCACTAAAAAAGTTGTAAAAGGAAGTAGAATTTTTTTTTTTAAATCTTTATTGTTCAGATTATTACATTTGTTCCTCTTTTTTTTTCCCCCCATAACTCCCCTCCTCCCAGTTCCCGCCCCACCCTCCGCCCTCACTCCCCACCCACTGTCCTCATCCCTAGGTGCACGATTTTTGTCCAGTCTCTTCCCGCATCTCCCACACCCCTTTCCCGCCCCCCCGGAATAGTCAGTCCATTCCCTTTCTATGTCCCTGATTCTATTATAATCAACAGTTCATTCTGTTCATCAGATTATTTATTCACTTGATTCTTAGATTCACTTGTTGATAGATGCATATTTGTTGTTCATAATTTGTATCTTTACCTTTTTCTTCCTCTTCCTCTTCTTAAAGGGTACCTTTCAGCATTTCATATAATCCTGGTTTGGTGGTGATGAACTCCTTTAGCTTTTCCTTATCTGTGAAGCTCTTTATCTGACCTTCAATTCTGAATGATAGCTTTGCTGGATAAAATAATCTTGGTTGTAGGTTCTTGGTATTCATCACTTTGAATATTTCTTGCCACTCCCTTCTGGCCTGCAAAGTTTCTGTTGAGAAATCAGCTGACAGTCGTATGGGTATTCCCTTGTAGGTAACTGAGTTTCTTTCTCTTGCTGTTTTTAAGATTCTCTCTTTATCTTTTGCTCTTGGCATTTTAATTATGATGTGTCTTGGTGTGGTCCTCTTTGGATTCCTTTTGTTTGGGGTTCTCCGCGCTTCTTGGACCTGTAAGTCCATTTCTTTCACCAGGTGGGGGAAGTTTTCTGTCATTATTTCTTCAAATAGGTTTTCAATATCTTGCTCTCTCTCATCTTCTGGCACCCCTATAATTCTGATGTTGGTACGCTTGAAGCTGTCCCAGAGGCTCCTTACACTATCCTCGCATTTTTGGATTCTTTTTTCATTTTGCTTTTCCGGTTGTGTGTTTTTTGCTTCCTCGCATTTCAAATCATTGACTTGATTCTTGCACTCCTCTGGTCTGCTGTCGGGAGTCTGTATAATATTCGTTATTTCAGTCCGTGTATGCTTAATTTCTAGTTGGTTCCCCAATATAAGATCGAGGGTCTCATTAGTTTTCTTGTAGATCTCATTAAGTTTATCGGCGGCTTCTAAACAGTTCTTGAGAGACCTTAAAAGTGTGGTTCTGAACTCTATATCTTCCATTGACAATTTTGTCCTGTTTCTTTGTCTCCGCATTTTGTTATGCTTCCTTGGTGCACCCCCTAGTGGTCTTTGTTCGCAGTTTTATAGTTAAATCTTGATTGTTGTAGCTAATTCCAGGGAGGGTTTGACCTCCAGGCCAAGTGGCTATGAGAATCAGCTGTGTCAGCAGTGAGAGAACTTCTGTCCTCTAGGGAGGTGCTAATCTGGCGTTTGCCTGAGGCTATCCGGCAAATGCCTCTGTGCAGGGCTTGGGCGGGGCGGGTCGCACAGGATCAACAGGGTGGGCCGGAGAGAGCAGTTATGGCGGCTCTCAGTCCTGTCCCCAGGGGCTCTGCCTCTCTGAGTCCCAGCACCCGCTGCAAAGCTCAGAGAGAAAGCTGCACTCGCTCTGACCGAAGCCAGACAGTCCCGCTTCGCCCGTTTGAGTCTGGGTCCCTAAAGACTCGCCCGGATCTGGAGCTCAGAGTCTGCGACTCCCTCCCGATTGAAAACGCCAACCGCGCCCTCCGCCGCCAGCCCGCTCTGCGCACTCCGCACCTCAGAATTTGACTTCAGCACTGCGCCTCCTCTGAGTGTCCGTATGCGTTTCTCTTTCCTCCTAGTTGTAGGACTTCCACTCAGCCAGCGTTCCTGTGGTTCTGGGTGATGTCCCTTCCGTTTTTTGGTTTCACTTTTGAAGTAGTTGTTCAAAGCAGCAAACTCCGGCGTTAACCTATGCCGCCATCTTGGCTCTCTCTGGAAGTAAAATTGATGCTGCTAAGAATGAAGAAAAAAATAGAATCATGTAAAATACTCAATTAAAACCACAAATGGCAGAAAAAGAATAGAGTACAAAAAATAGAAAAAAGGACAATGACTAGGAAGTAATAATAAAAAGGTATATGTTAAGCCAACTATAGAATCACTTGAAGTGTCAGTGGCATAAATACACCACATAAAGGATAAAGATAGATTTTATTTAAAAAATATCTACACTCTTTCCGCCATCGGTCCTTGCCACCATAATGGTGCTCATGAATGTCCTGGCTGATGCTCTGAAGAGTATCAACAATGCCGAAAAGAGAGGCAAGCGCCAGGTTCTCATCAGGCCATGCTCCAAAGTCATCATCCGGTTTCTGACTGTGATGATGAAGCATGGTTACATTGGCGAATTTGAAATTATTGATGACCACAGAGCTGGGAAAATTGTCTTGAACCTCACAGGAAGGTTGAACAAGTGTGAAGTAATCAGCCCCAGATTTGATGTGCAACTCAAAGATCTAGAAAAACGGCAGAACAATTTGCTTCCATCCCGTCAGTTTGCTTTCATTGTACTGACAATCTCAGCGGGCATCATGGATTATGAATAAGCAGACAAAAACACACAGGAGGGGAAATCCTGGGATTCTTTTTCTAGGAATGTAATACATATGTGGAAATAAAATGACTCAAAGGACATAAATAAATAAATAAATAAATAAATAAATCAAATCTACACTAATAAAAGAGAAACATGCAAATTTGGTGTCACTCTGCTACTCCTACCAGCCAATCAGGATGAGTATGCAAATTAACCCAACAAAGATGGTGGTTAATTTGCATATGCAGGCGTGGGGCAAAGACTGAAGACTGAAGAGGCTTGCCTTCTCTGCTGCGGTCAGAGTGATGGCCTGGGTCCCGGGTGCCGGAGGAAAACCGGTGCTGGCAGCCAGGGGAAGGAAGGCCTATTGCACGAATCTCTTTGGGCAATGGGCCTCTAGTGTTCTCTATAAGAAGCCTACTTTAAATATAAAGGAACAAGTAGATTTAAAAAAAAGTAAAGGGATGGAGAAAGATATACCATGCTAATTCTAATGAAAAGAAAGCCAGAGTAGCTATATTAATTTCAGACAGAGAAGATTTCAGAGCAAGGAAAATTATCAGGGATAAAAAGAGGCATTACATGATGGCAAAAAAGTCCATCTCCAAAAAGCTATAACAATCCTTAATGTGTATGTGCCTAACAACAGTGCATCAAAATATGTGAGAAGAAAAACTGACAGAACTGCGAGGAGAAGTAGATGAATCCACTGTTATCTGTGGAGACTCCAATACTCCCTAACAGAAGTGAACAGATCTGGAGGCAGAAAATCATTAAGGGCTTAATTCAACTGAACAGAACCATCAAACGACTGGATATAATTGACAACTATAGCCTATTTCATCAAACAAGAGCAGAATAAACATTCTTCTAAAGTTCACATGGAACATTCGCCAAGATAGGCCATATTCTGGGCCATAAAACAGACCATAACAAATTTAAAAGAATAAGTGTTGTGCCATGTTTGCATTCAGATCACAATCGTATTAAACTAGAAATCAATATCAGAAATATAGATGGAAAACCCCAAAATATTGGTGGTACCACATGGATGATAAAAGAAATCTCAAGAAAAATTTAAATCTATATTGAGCTAAATGGAAATAAAAACATCATACTGGAAGTCCTAGCTAATGCAATAAAAAAAAAAGGAAATAAAATGTACAAAGATTGGAAAGGGAGAAATAAAACTATCTGTGTTCACAGGTGACTTGACTGTGTACGTAGAAAATCCAAAAGAGTTGACAAAAAACACTCTTGGAACTAATATGCAATTACAGCAAGGTTACAGTTTACAATATCAATATACAAAATTCAATCACCAATGAACAAGTAGAAAATATACCACTAGTGAACAAGTAAAATTTGAAATTAAAAACCAGAAATGAACAAATAAAATTTCAAATTGTTTTAATTTAAAACAAACATAAAATGGTTTTAATGCCATTTACATTAACACCTCCCTGAAATAAAATATTTGGAATAATTTAACAAAATATGTATAAGATTTATATGAGGAAAACTACAAAACCCTGATGAAAGAAATAAAATAACTAAATAAATGGAGAAATAGTCTATGTTCATGGAAACAATCCTATCCTATACAGGCCAGGCTGAGGGATGCCCCCCTCCCCACCCCAGTGCATGAATTTTGTGCACCAGGCCTCTAGCGTACAATATAATGCCATCTGATAGTTTTACTTCCTCCTTTCCAACTTGGATGCCTTTTATTTTTCTTTTTTTGTCTGATTGCTGTGGCCAAGACTTCTAGTATTCTGTTGAATAAAATTGGTGAAAGCAGACATCCCTATCTTGTTCCTGCTCTTAGGGAAAATGGTTTTAGATTTTGCCCATCGAGTATGATGTTGGCTGTAGGTTTGTCATATAAAGCTTTTATTATGTTGAGGTATGATCCCTCTATTCCCACTTTGTTGAGAGTTTTAATCAAAAAATGAGTGTTTGATTTTTTGAATGCTTTTTCTGCATCTATTAACATGATCACATGATTTTTGTCTTTCAATTTGTTTATGTGATGTATCTCATTCATTGATTTGTGAATATTGTACCAGTCTTGCATCCCTGGAATAAATCCCACTTGGTCATGGTGTATGCTCTTTTTAATGTATCGCTAAATCTGATTTGCTAATATTTTGTTGAGGATTTTAGCATCTATGTTCATTGGGGATATTAGCCTGTAAATCTTTCTTTGCAGTGTCTTTATCTGTGTATTTTTTAATATATATTTTTATTGATTTTAGAGAGGAAGGAGAGATAGAAACATCAGTGATGAGAGAGAATCATTGATTGTCTGCCTCTGGCACACTCGTACAGGAGATTGAGCCCACAACCCAGGCATGTGCCCTTGATCAGAATCAAACCCATGACCCTTGAGTCTACAGGCTGATGCTCTATCCACTGAGCCAAACAGATGAGGGCTGGATTTAAAATTAGGATAATGCTGGCCTTGTAAAGGGAGTAGTTTGAGGAGTATAGGTGTTAGTTCTTCTTTGTATGCTTGGTAAAACTCCCCTGTGAAGCTTTCCAGACCAGGGCTTTTGTTTGCTGGGAGTTGTTTTTATTACTGCTTCAAATTAATCAGTTGTTATAGGCCTATTCAGGTTTTCTGATACTTCCTGATTCAGTTTTGGAAGATTGTATTTTTCTAGAAATGTGTCCATTTCTGCCACATTGTCCAGCTTATCCTATATAATAAAAGCCTAATATGCAAATTGTCCCCTTGGGTGGTCATTCGACCGAGAGTTCAACAGGAGACCAGGCATTCAACCACTCACTATGACATGCGCTGATCACAAGGGGGCAGTGCGGAACATGGCGGGCATCGGTGACACATTGCGACATCTCACTGGCTATCTGGGGGCAGGGGTGATGAGGTTGGAGGTGCAGGGAGAATGTGGGCTGTCTGCCAAGCTCTCTCTCACTCCCCCTGCTAACCTCCCCCAGGACGCCAGGGCTTGTGCACTGGGGAAGCCCCCATGCTCAGGTGCTGGGCACCGGTGAGGAGCCCGCCCCACACCTGCACGACCTCTTCCAGGTGAGCCAGCCTGCAGCCGCCAGGCCCACAGGGACCGGTTGGGCTCTCCGTGGGTTCTCACAGGAGCCAGTCTGCGAGGCCAGTCAGGAGAGAGCGTGCTGCCTACCTGGCTTCCATGTGCTGCTGCTGGGTGGCCCAGAGGCCCATGCTGCACCCAGGCCCGCATTGTCCAGCTGCGCTCACCGCATCTCTGTGTGGGGACATGGGTTCCGTGACTCAGGCGGAGGGGAACGCATGGGGGCCTGAGGGACCAGGTGCTGCCCAGGGCCCAGAGGTCAGCTGGGACCTGCCCTTCTACCCGAGACGCTCATGCTTTGATCGCCAGCCAGGCCTAAGGACACACCATGCACAAATTTCATGCACCAGGCCTCTAGTCCTATATAATAAAAGCCTAATTGTGCCGAGCCAGCTCAGCCAAGGGTTCGAAAGCCTGAGCGAGGGCAGCGAAAGGATGAAGAAATGACAGACAGAGAGAATAAGCTGGGTCTAGGTGGATCTTCCTGTGCCTGGCTGAGGCCACAGAGAGAGACTCAGAGGCAAGCTGAGCCTTTATTTTATAGCAAGAGGTAAACAAGGTAGTGGTCACCATAGTTACAATGTTCTTGTGAGTTTCACTTGTTTTAGCAGCACTTGCTGCATCTCCCTCAGCCCATTAGCTGCCCAGATAAGATCTAGGGAGTGTCATAAGGTCAAGCCTAATTATGCTAAGAGGACTGTGTCCTCTAAGCTGGGACTTGTTTGTGGCTTTGCCAACAGGTCAGTCCAAGGCTTAACCCTATAGCTGTGCCCTACACCTAATATGCAAATTGTCCCCTTGGGCAGTCGTTCAACCAGGAGACTGGGATTTTCACTGCTCGCTATGATGTGTGCTGACCACCAGGGGGCGGAGTGGAACATGGTGGGCTTTGGCAAGGGACACTGGCAGTGGGAGGCAGTGGAGGCGCTGCTGGCCCCGATGGGCCCTGATGAGAACAAGACCATGGCATGATGGTGGAGCAGGTGAGCAGGTGGTGCCAGGTGAAGGCAGGTGCAAGCGGGGGCCCGATTGCCCCCCTGATTGCCCTTCAGACGGCAACCAGCAGCAGCTGCAGGAGTCGGGGCCACCGCCAGCTCCCAGGTGCTGAGAGAGCCAGACAGGGGTCCCAGCTGCGATCAATTGCCTCGCAGGCGGGATAGTGGAGTAGGTGAGGGGGCAGCGCCAGGCCAAGGTGGGGTGCCAGGTGGGGCTGCAGTGCTGCGAGGCTGGGGAAGTGAGCTTGGACTGCAAGGCTGGGGGCATAAGCTGGGGCCCAATCTCCACAGGCCACCCCGAGGGACCCCAACCATGCACAAATTCGTGCACCAGGCCTCTAGTTGACATATAATTGCTCATAGTATTTTCTTACAATCCTTTGTATTTCTGTGGTGTCAGTTGTTACTTCACCTCTTTCCTTTATGATTTTATTTGGGTTCTCTCTCTTTCTTTCTTGATTAATCTGGATAAAGGTTCATTAATCTTGTTTATCTTTCCAAAGAACCAGCTCTTGGTTTCATTGATTTTTTGTGTGTGTATTGTTTTTTGGTCTCTATGTAATTTATTTCTGCTCTGATCTTCATTATTTCCTTCCTTTACTTACTCTAGGTTTTTCTTGTTGTTCTTTTTTTAATTCCTTAAGTTGTAGGGCTCAATAGTTCATTAGAAATTTTTCTTGTTTTCTGAGGTAGGCTGGTTGTGCTATGAACTTCCCTCTCAGGACTGCTTTCACTGTGTCCCATAGATTTGTGGTTGTTGTATATTCATTCTCATTTGTTTCCAGAGAGATTTTGATTTCTTTCTTGATCTTATTGGTAACCCATTCATCCTGTATAATAAAAGCGTAAAATGCAAATAGACCTAACAGTGGAACAACCAGTTGCTATGACGTGCACTGACTACCAGGGGGCAGATGCTCAATGCTGGAGCTGCCCCCTGGTGGTCT